TTCCAGAATTATTTGCCCTTAAAAAACAAAAACAAAAAATGAAAATGAAACCTCAAGGCAGTGATGAACGTATACATAATACGTGAGTATATCCATGCAACATTTAAAATAAATAGAGAAGAGGGCAAGGCTGCTAGCTAAACTATTACCCCACTGCGTATATGTGGGCCTAACATTTTAGCTGTCAAAATGAGAAGAAAACTGGATTTTTCTTGCAGATGTGAGTGAACTCTGAGTTCAGTTATTTAGGGCAGGGGGTTGGACTAGAAAACCTCTAAGGTCCCTTCCAATCCTATGGTTTTATGATTCTGTGTTATGATACCTCTGACTTCTTTCTTTTTCTTTCCCTATTGCATCTGTTTAGCATCTTTTGCATTTAACAGTGTCATGCAGACCAAGTGGAAAGAATTTTTATTATAGGTAGAGCTGAGATGAATTGCCAAAATTAATGGCAGCCTTCCTCAACTTGGTGCCCTCCAGATGTGTTGGAGTACAGCTCCCATCAACATAGTAATTTATAGGACACCAAGCTAGGGAAGGAAGCTTTCTGGCACAGGATAGAGTAGAACTGGATCTTACATATCATTTCAGCTTTTTTTTTTTTTTTTGAATTCTTCAGAATACTATTAATTGTGGGAGTTAGAGGGGAAAAAAGTTTAATGTGTTAGGCAACCCAAATTCTCTTGAAAGTTTTCCAGCAGAAGTTGCATGTGGTTTATTTGTCAAAAGGAAAAGAATGATTAGGTTTTAAATATTTAGGGCAGCACAGCCACACATTTAAAGATTTAACAGAATTCTAGGAAGTTTAGGGTCTTAGTGCTCATGTGGTGAGGCAAGGGAGGTGCCACTGGCTTTATGCAGCTAGCAGTGAAGTGCTAAATCCCCTTGCAGGATCAGAGAACAATTTTGGCTGTGTGGCCAAAGGCCAGATGTTGCCCCCCAAAGGATAGTGTGACCAAAGTTGGTACTTGGGCCCCTTACCTTCCATCCTGTGCATAACATAAAGATGAATGGGAGTGAGAGATTCCTATAGGATTTGTCAACTTGCCCAAGGATGCCAGAGAGGGAAAAGGTGATGGATGTTTGCTTGCCCCAGAAGGAGGCAGAGGAAGGTGGAGGAAGGCCATATCATCTGGGGCTGCTCTGCTGCCCCCATACTAATGGTTTCTGCAGAGGTGCCCGGGAGCAGGAGGGTCTGGGTGCGAGTTGTTGATGAAGGCCGCCCAGTTTCCTCTCTCTCTCACCCCCTGCAGGTATCTCTCGAAGTCCCCACCCCTCTTCAGCGCTGCACTTTCCCACCACCTCGATCCTGCCCCAGGCAGCCTCCACCTACTTCCCGCACACAGCCATAAGGTACCCGCCTCATCTGAATCCGCAGGACCCTCTGAAAGACCTCGTCTCGTTGGCTTGTGACCCATCCAATCAACAGCCGGGACCGGTAAGGAACTGCCAGGGTTATAACTCCTGTCACCTCTTGTCTTGTGATGTGGGAAGCCTCTGCTCAGTCAGTCTAGTTCATGACGTGCTGAGTCTGAGGAGAAACAGCAGGGCAGTTATTTGAAATGCCCATACAACCAGGCAGTCTCCAAGCCCTTCAGATTTTTTTTTTTTTCAGCCATCACAAGACCTAGAAGAAAATACTTACACATTTTCTAAATGGTATACTTAAGCCAGATTTCTCCAACCTGCTGTTCTCCAAATGTGTTGGACTTCCGGAATCCCTAAGCAACATAGTTTAAGCCAGTGCTTTTCAAACTTGGCAACTTTAAGATGAGGAGACTTCAACTCCCAGAATTCCCTAGCCAGCATGAAGTCCCCTCATCTTAAAGTTGCCACGTTTGAAAAACACTGGTTTAAGCCATACCATCTCAGTCTTGGACAGACATTTCCACTTTCATATTTGATTGAAACAGTCATCATTGCTCTTATGTTTTGTTTTATGTTTGGGCCTGGCAGCAGCTATTTTTACTTTCCAGTAACACCCCGGAACATTAAAAAATTGACAGTTTTGTTCTAGGCTATTATTCTTAAAAAATAAAAAATGATGATTGGGGGGAATGGTTATTGGGGGTGAGATTTGTCCCTTCCATTCTTGAAATTCCACTCCTAAAACAGCTAATTCCTAAGTGCCACCTGCACGTATGCGAGTTTTGAACAGGACTCAAAACAATGTGTGTGCTTGAGGAGGGGTGGAGTGGGGTTGCTCATCTTAAATCCATGGATCTTCAAAACACTGATGGTAATTATCTGTAATTTGCATAGCATGCCTCAGGCAAGTTCATGAAGCCCAAGGCCATTGGTACCCAAGGTATGTAAAGGGTTTAGTGAGGGAAAAATGTAGCTTACAGTCACATTGTACGTTTTGAAGTAAGATACGGTACAATCCTTCTTGGACTAGATAAATAAGAATCAAAGTGGAGATCAAGAAGCCTGTATTTGCATGCTGTTTTGCAGGCAGGGCTGATGCTCGTGAAGAGGTAATGAATTCACACTAATTCAGTCTCCATACTGAGAACTTGCGCAATGAAGCAGTTGATTGTGGCACTCCGGTTCTGCCCAGGGTGGGATCAAGGAAAAGTCTTGACAAAACTGTTGGGATCCTCCGAATAGAGTGGCAGGATCTGCCCCATCTATTCAGCTATGTGTTGAAGATGCCATCTTTGCCTCTGAAGGAGCTATCAGGTTAGATAAGATCAGAAAAAAAAAATACTGTAGATTGTCAGACCAGAAGATGATGCAGAGCCACAGAGAGAGCTTTAATAACAAATATTCCCACTGCTCTCCTAATCAAACCTGCATCTAGGCCATATGTGTACACACATGGACACATATGTCTGTTACTGGAAGTCCAGCTTGTTTCTCCTCTCCTCTATTTCGGCTGGGTGCCCGTCCTGGTGGATGGCACCATTCAAGGGCAGTTAATGTATTAGTTACTTGCAGGGCAGTTGGTGAGTAATGGAAGGAGCCTTCTATCTTTCTTTCTCACACACATACAGACACATACAGAGCAATTGGAAGCTAGTATTGCTTCTGAATATCTGTGATTGCTTTCTTGGGCCAATACATCTCCTTACTGTTGTGGAAAACATAGGCTGGAGATAGAACTGAAAGTGGTATTACACAGGCAACACTACTGACTGTAGCGAGAGCACTAAGAAAGCTTTTTAAATCTGTTCATCTGGATTTTCCCCCAATTTTTGAGTTCTGAGTTATCTGGTCTTACATTCAAAGTGAAGTTGATATATTAACATTCTTGCCATTCTTTCTTTTTTTACTTTTCAAATGTTATTCAGTCCATAGTTGATAACAGTGTTCAGTATCTTTCTCTGTTTTTTTCCTTTTTGTCATCAAGTGAAATGCTGATAACAGTAATATTTTACAGGAGGGCCATTTATGTGATCACGTATGATTGTACCAAGATTCTTTTTGTGCAGTGTTTTGATAATATTCAGGAACACATGTGTACATACGTAAAATTCAGGAGAAAAAGATACCGCTGCACATATCATAGTAACATCATTGCTTTTTTGTGGTATTTTATGAATGCACCCAAGTATAGGTACGGTTATTTGTGTGGCTGTGGCTATAAATTAAGTTTTGGCAATTTGCACAAAAATCTCAAAACATAAACCGACATTTGCAATGCTAAAGAGTAATAAAGAGCGCAGAAAAAGCCATTTGTTAGCACAGTGTCAAAGTAAGCATCCTGAAAGATTGATTAGAGGCCAAATGTGGCCACATGAGCTAGAACTTTTAGATGGGATTGTGAAGAGTTTTTGTATACTGGAAGGCACTGTCATTGGCTATGGGCCATGACAATTCAATAGATCTTCCTTATTCGCAGTCAGGTGAGCTGGCCAAGATTCCCAGGGTCCCCAGTGAAGCCCGCCCACTGTCCCCGTTTTGAGGGGGGAGGTTCCTCTGGGCGGGCAGGTGACTCCTGTGGGCAGTGCTAATGGCTTGCTCTGTGTTTTTTTTTTATGTTGTGTCCCTAGTTAAATGGAGGTGGTCAAGTGAAGGTACCCGGGCATTACCTTCCTACCCAGATGTTGGCGCCGCCACCCCCAGGTATGCCCCGCCTGGCAATCTCACCTGACACCAAATCTACCACGACAACTTCCGAGGGAGGGACCACCTCGCCGACGTCTCCCAGTAAGCAAGCCCACTCACCATTCCTGCACCTACCCACTCCCAAACGGCCTTGTCCTCCTGCCTGCCATCTGTCACTAATTCTTCCCTACCCTCTGGCCATATTCACCAGTTCAGACTGCTCTGCAGCCTTGTTATTTTGGGGTAAGGGGATGGCCACTTTGGGGGAAAGGATTTTGAGATGAGATGGCAGCAGGGTGCATGGATCTAAACAGAGGAAGTTCAAATTGTTCATTTAAATTATCAGAAATTGCCACGGATTTAAATCCATTATTTTTTTAAAACCCAAGCAAACATGCATGCTACCATAGGACATGCCAGGTTGCAGTAAACAAAGGCTTTGTAGCACCCCAGAATGTAATCCAACGTCATCTACCTTGCATGCCTGTTGTACAAAGGGGACCTTGAATTTAGGAGAGCAACTATGGAATGAAATCGTTCCATTTGGCTTTCTCTTTACATATTTCAGGACACTGAATGAGATCAATTCCTTGGAAATTATACAAAATCCCAAGCAAAAGCGGGTAGTTACATGGCAGACATAAAAGTTCATCAGCCATGCTCTTTAGTTGGCCTTCTAAATTTGGGGCCTGTGAGCAGCAGCCTCCATGCAACTTTGCATGGCATTGCAGAGATTCTAGAGCAGTGTTTTTCAAACTTGGGAACTTTAAGATGTGTGGATTCAACTCCCAGAATTCCTCAGCCAGCATAAACTTCCCCAGCCAGCTTAAATTAGCCAAGTTTGAAAAACATTGCCCTAGAGCCTATTCCTCGTTATATCATTGATGGAATGGTGTATTAAACAGCTGTGCAGCACTTCTGCTTTGATTTCAGAAAGGTCCTTCAAAGCATAGAGGGGTACCAACAAAACACCAATATGAAATTATTTAAAGCAGCTGTGTCTTGTCCCAGGAGCATACTGCTCAATCTCAGGAAAAGACACAGCTGCTTTAATCTCTTGAAGACAGGCTCTGTTCCTGTCCCTGTGGGCTCTGAAGACACTTTTGGGAAATGAATTGGAAGTGCTGCACATTCCTAGCCTATTATGACTGGGCACAGTGTTTTCCCAAGATTTTCCTGAAGTACAACACTGCTTATGATTTGGGGAACATTTTTATAAGGTTTTAAAAAGACTTATTGTTAGGATCTTTTCCCTGACTATGTCTATTCTCACTTCCTGCTCCCCCATACAATATCATCTTCCATTTTTTATCCTATATAAAAGGGGCAATTGCTTTCCTTAGCTTCTGAAAATTTGCCCGCCTGTGATCTAAATATTGATGTTAACATAGTACACTCCAAAATAATAATAATTAAAAGGAAGCCTTGTTAATTCTTAATCTTTATATATGACTTTGATTATGCAAATTCTCACTATTTAATCACTCAGGCAAACAGCATCAATGTTTATTTTCCTTATCTCGAAAAAGTTGTGTTCTTCTAGTACCTACTGGTAAAATATTATTATTTTTTCTCCACACTTCATCAGTTCTTTACCTAGGCGTCTTACTGTGTTTAATGGAAGCTTATAGACTGATCGTGGTGAGTGTATGAATGTTGACTTCTACTGTATAGTTTGCAGTGCGATCAGATGTTGTATCAAACCAGGTCCCTTAATATTGCTGATTTGAAAAAAATAAGGTAAATGTTAAAATGTACCACATTTTAGACTGACCGTAGTTCAGTTCCCAGTACCAATCAATCAGGCAAACTAATAAAATACATAGCATGCCATTTTCTCCTTTCCAGATAATATTCCTAAATGTCTAAAAACAATATGCAGAGCATAATGCTCTGCTTTGAAACTGAGGACTGGTGTAAACTTTTGTTTAGAGGCTTAACAGAACTTAAGAACTTAACTGGTGCCTTGGCTCACTGTTCTTTAATTGCAGGGAAGAAGCCAAATGTCGCTTTTAAGGGCTGTGTATTTGGTGTAATTTATTTTGCTTATTGCAATTTGCTGAGGAAAGGTCTTGTAAATATCTCTGCTGTGCTTTAGTAGTTGTGGAGAGGAGGTGGCTTAGCAAAACTTATTTTGCTTCTAATAAGAGCTGAAGGTCTTCCTAGGAGCTTATCTCATCAGCTGTGATGTAGCTTCCGTTACTCATCCAATTTATTGCAGTTGAGCAGCCTTACACAACATTTAATTTATTAATTTGTTAATTGGATTTATATCCCGTCTTTCCTTCCTTAATTCAAGGCAGTGTGTACAGCAGGGTTTCTCAACCTTAGCAACTTTAAGATGTGTGGACTTCAACTCCCAGAATTCCCCCTTGCTTGCTGGCTGGGGACTTCTGGGAGTTGGTCCACACATCTTAAAGTTGCTAAGGTTGAGAAACCTTGATGTACAGTATAGCACTCTTTTCTTTCACATTTCCCCTGAATAACATTCCTCTGAAGTATGTTCAGGTGAGAAAGGCTGACTGGGTCAAAATCAGCAGTGACCTTCCATAGCTGAAGATGGACTTCCATCAGGTCTCCAACATACTAGTTCAGTGCCTTCACTACTATACTAGACTGGCTCTTTGAACTAAACAATGTCTCTGTGCTTGTTTTTGAGGTTTTATAGTGGACTAGGGAAGAAACTCTCTGTTGATTCAACATGAATCATCCTCGTGATCTTTGTTAATTTGTGATGTCTAAATGGAAAAGAAGGTGCTACGTTACAAAGCCATCTTGTGAAATCTGATATTAGATACATTCAAAGGTTGTGTCTCTTGTTTAAAAGTCCTACTTGCCATTTTTCTTTTTTTCCAAAATACTTTTCTGATGTTTCCAGGGAGCTGATTACATTTGGTATTCATTCCCAGTAGCTTTCCCAGGTTACCCATTCCTGATGCCAACCACCTCTTCCTCCTCTTTTGCGTGTGGGTACTCTGAACATTCCAACAAACTGAATTTACATGGGTGGCAAAAGAGACCTGAGTTAACTTCTCTCTTCTCTCCGACCTTGAGCAAGTCATGTGGTGCTGCGGGATGCCTATTTGCAAAATGTGTGTATGTGTGTATATGTTTGCTTATCATTACACAGTACATAGGGGATGATAATTTATGAGGTTTGGGAGGAGGGAGCCATTGTAATTGCTGCACAAATTAAATTTATCAGCAAGATATAGTAATGCTCTAAAAAACTCAGTTTTTACAGATTTTTCCCCATAGTGCTTCCTCTGAGTTATAGTGCTGTCTACCCAACCTTGACATAGCAGAAAACGATCCCAGCTGAAACTGGCTATCCCGATTGCCAACTCCTTTCCTGCCTTGATTACCTCTGTTCTCAGTCACTGTTTCTGCCAGCCCCCTGACTTCCATCCAAAGTGAGAAAGCCTAACAGATTTCGCACACCTTAAGACTGTCCTTGAATGGTGTTGAAATAAGAGGGGAAATACATCAGTGATGCAGTGAAGAGCAACTTAATCCTGTCTCCCACATGGTCTGGGGATCAGAGAAGGGCAACCTCAATGGAATGCTAAAGGAAAAAGAAGTTCCAGAGCATATATGTGTTATGCTTAGGGGCCAATGGGGACACGGCCTGTATCCTCTGGAATAATATCTCCACTAGGCCCATCAGCTGCCTCTAGCGCACCTCTTTGCACACACCTCTTTGCAAATACAGTAAGCATTTTCAACTCTACAGAAAGGAAGAAACTGAGTAAGAAGCATAGCATACAGGAATAGTATTTGGGTGTGCTTAATTAAAAAAATAATAATATTAGTAATGACTAGTGGTGCATATATGCATGCATGTATATGTGTGTGTGTGTGCATGTATATAATATTTCAGCATTATACAACTGTGGACAAGACTTCGATTCTAAAGTAATCGTGTAAACAGTCCATATATGTTATGAAATTAAAGGGAAAAAAAACCCAGGGAATTTTGTATCATAGACAAAACATATCCAGAAAATTTGTTTACCTCTCTTGAGTATCTTTTTTCTTAACCCCTCTATCAAAAGAAGCCTGAGCCAGATGTTGACAAACAATATATATTGGCTGTCTGCTGCAGCAAATAAGGTGTAAATTTATTCTTCTGCTGCTGAATAACATGGGGCTCTTCTGTATGCAAGAAACAAAGCAAAGGTGTATCGATCCACTTCTTTTAACTCAGCATTGGAAATAGATTCCCTGGGCAGATTCAAAGTTCCTGTAATCACATGGGGGCAGGGCAGGGTTATAGTTTATGACCTTGGGGGTGGCAGAGTTGTTTTCCAGCACTGTGAACTTGAATCCTTTTAACTGGAGATGCTGCAACTGAATGGACCTTGGGATCATGTCCTGGAACAGATTTCAATTTGTACCTAAAGTTCAGACTGCGTGATTCTAGACTTCTGCAATTTCTGTGGTTCATATCAGTTGCTTAGGATGAGTTTTTCATCTACTCTAGCTTGATAGTGTAAGAAGCATGCCATGGCCATAGATCAGTAGGAGAACATCATTTTTGGAAGCAAAAGGTCTCATAAGCAATTCCTGGTGTATCCAAGAGGGCTGAAAAATATTTTTCCTGAATTTACCAATCGGTGTCGGTGCTATTGGGCTAAATGGGCCAATGGTTTGACTCAGTATGAGGCAGCTTTCTGTTTTTCTAATGTGAGGGAACAGAACTGTGGAGATAAAATGTCCTTGGAGGTCACCTAGTCCAACCTGCTACTCACTGCAGGATGTACAGTGCAAGATGCAGCTAGAACATATTTGACAACGGCCATTCTCCAGTTTGCTCTTTGGCCAGGCTTGGTTGAGGCCCTGGGAGATGAATCCCTGTCTTAAATCATTCCACAGTTTAAAGCAGGGATGCAAAACTCGCACCCTGCCCTTTGCTGTCCCCAAACCGTCATGCACATACTTAAGGAACCTGTTTCACCCTTTGAAATTAAACAGAAAGCCCTCTGACTATTGAAAAGCAGCCCTTGATAAGTTTCTGTGGCTTTCCTGCTGATGGATATTTTTGCACTGAAGTCTCTATATTCAGAATAAGCAAACTTCTGAAAAGAAAGATAATTGCAAAGGAAAGAAGGACTGAAGATCTTTGGGGTAGGGGGCGGAGAGTGGTTCCCGTGACGAGATGAAAGCTGTTGATCAGAACAGTGGACTGATTGAATTTTAAAAAGAATGTTCTCTTGTTCTCTTTCTCTCCTTTTTTCTTTTCTTTACCTTCCTCTCCCCCCTACCATCTTCCCCAGCCTACTCCACCCCAGGCACACCCCCTGCGAACCGCTTCGTGGGATTAGGACCACGGGATCCTGGCAGCATCTATCAGGCACAGGTGAGTCTCAAGGACCTTCCTGAAAATTTTTACTAAGTTAAAAGCTACAGAAAAATAAAAAAGAATATAGAAAAGAAAAAAAAGATATCAAAGGAAAAATAGGAAAGATAGAAAGATAGAAAAAGTGAACAACAGTATAGATCAAGAAAAGAGAAAGAAAAAAAGCAATATTTAAAGAAGCAACTTCCGATTTTCTTTGCAGCAGTTGCAAACATAATACTGTTTCTGTCCTTCCAAATTACATAACATAGTTCCTTCTTCCCATATACAGGCCTTTTTCATTAGTAAATCCAGAGATCACCAGTTCATTTTTATCCATTTTCAGCAAAAAGTCCATGAATAGAGAGGTTCTTTTAAGATCTGGTGTTTAATATATGGACATTGTTAAATGTCTATTTAGTGCAACATCCCATTTTCCCTACTGCCCAGCCAGAGGTCTCCTTGACACCTGCAAGGGACAGCATTCAAGCATAATGTCCTCCCACTTGCTTGACCCCAGGATCCATTAGTCTGAGCTATATAGTCCTTGTCTTATTCAGGTAGAGCTGAGAAATAGTCTTTCTGAAATCCTGGATAGCTGCTGCTACTCTCAGCAGATCTGCCGTACCCCAACATGAGGTCCTCTAGATGGGTTTTGGGGCAATTCTTCTGAGATTTTAAACCAGGACAGGCTGGTTATCCTGGTACGTGGAAGTGGACTGCTTCTGATCTTCAGGATCCATTTCTCAGTGTTATGTTCAGTAGCTGCTGATTGGGCCTACTAGTATGTATTTTTCTAGAAGCCTCTAAAAACAAAACAGGAGGTTTGGTGGCTCAGATCTGCATGTCTGTGCAATCCAGATCTCTATTTGTGAAAGTTGGAAGATGGATAAAAATGTCCTCTGGAAACAGCTTCATGCCTTCCCGCGCCCCACTCCGAAATCACAGTCCCCTTTCATCTCTGATGCTGTCCTTTGTATCTTGGCTCCAAGTCTAGGTCTACTTGGCTTCTCCAGTGTCATTCCTGGCAGGATTCTGCCTGGCACCTTCCCAGCACCCGAGGGGAAGCTCAGTGGCTTTTACAATTACTTTTGCATGCCTCTGGAAAAATAACAACAAAGCGCACGCGCGCACATACACACACACTCACAGCCTTGACAGGGAGCAAGTTCAGAGGCCAAAGCTAAGCCCAGTCTCTCCTCCTACCCTCCCTCTGCTTGGCCTCTTAAGATGCAATTGGATGGTGTGCTTAACATGATGGCTCCTGGCCAATGGGATTCCTTTCCTTCCCCTCTGGCGTTGTTAGAGACTGGCACCAGCCATTAGTTGCCGCTCTGGCCGAGGCGTGACGAGGATTTCCGGGTATCCGAGAGAGTGCCTCCCCCCCCACAAGGAACAACAACTCCAATGTGTACCACCTTCTCCAAGTGGGCTTAAGGGTTGTTTTGGAATTAGCTTTTGCATTCCTTTCTCCTCTCTGGGATCTGACCATCAGGGTGTAAGAAATGTGACACCAGATTGTAAAATTCCATGGGTGGGTGTGTGCTCTGCGGGAGAGGCTGGGCTTGCAGCTCACGTATTGACTCCTTGCCTTTCATCTGGCCCTGCAAAACCCGAGGCCTGCTGAGCTGAACCCAAGAGCCTGATCAATCTTGGAGACTGCAGAGCGGGGGGAAAGGGTGCCAAATGTCTAGCTCCTGATGGTAGCAGGACAACACAATTCACAAGCCACCTTTGAAAACAAACAGGAGGACTGAAATGAACTCCCTTTCTCAGTCATTCAGCTCCTCTTCCCTTTCACTGCATCTTTGCGTGTTGTTAGTGGGCTAAGACTTCGGGGAAAGGGGAGGTGCTCCGCAACGAAACCTCAGCAATCGCAGGCTGCTTTCATCTTCCGCAGCGTTCAAATTCAGTCAAATCAAATGAAATTGTCAGAGATCATTTGATGGGTCAGATCCATCTGTTTTACTTTTCAGTTGTGGTCGTGTTTTTTGAACACGAGCTTGTTCTGCCTTGTTTCCCCATAAGTTAGTGATTTTTAAAAAAAAATCTGCACAAAACTTATTGTGTATTTTTGTATATGTTTTCTTGTAAGATGGGCATTTCCCCTTGTATATGCATGTTTGGATGCAATTTTTCTAATGTACACATTTTTCTATTGCATTGTAAAATTAAGAGAAATGCCAAAACAAGATAATTTTCTTGCCATTTTCTTTGGGAAGTGTGAATTAGGAGGATTTGTATTAAAATGTGAAGCAGAAAAGTTTCACATCAGTCCTGGAGATCATCCTTGATGGGTTCCCCCACCTGTTTAAATATCTTTGAAAGGCAGTTTACTACAGCTCTCTGTTAAAGATTTTTTGGGTTTTGCTGAAGAGAAAAATTGCAGATCTCCCTATCTCCTGTAATTTACCTCTTCTATTTTTATATATTGTTTTCAGGCATTTTAATCATTTTCCATATATTATCTAGGTAATTCTCACTTTTCCAGTGAAAATAACCTTTGTAGAATAGGCTAGAATTTTTCTCCCCCTATTGCAGGGGAAAGACTGAGGCTGAGAGAAAGTGAGATAGATTGTCTATTTTAAAAGTTCATGAAATGGGGAGTTAAAACTTCATTTCTTAGCTATTATCTACCAGACCTATTGAAGGGTTAGAACAGGTGTAAGCCCTTTTTCCAATTGTTCCTTGGACATGGCAAGGAATTGTTTAATATCAGCAAGGCCAGAATACAAAGCAGGGGGCGGCACCATCCCTTTGTCTCCTCTATTCTCTCTTTCCCTGTCTCATCTCATGTATGTATCCATCCATACCTCTCTGTATAAGAAGAAAAGGAGTACCCCTTTCTTTACAAATAAACCACAATTTGCCTATGGCGGATGAAAGAGGCTCACTTGCTCACCTGGTCAGTGCTAAAAAATGGAACTTCTCTGTTCAGTGATAGTTCATCATTGAGTTTTCAACACAAAGGTAGTATTGGTTCCAGATTTGAAGGGGTATTAGCCAAAACCCCCAATGCCTCCCACGCCTGGGTCCATCTCTTTCTTCGTCACCAGCAACCTTTCCTTCTTTCCTTTGGATCAATCTGTCCAGAGGCAAGTACAAGACAAAATACTGTACGCCTTTTCTTCTGCTTGTTCTGGTTCCTTCTTATATACTTAGTTGATTGCAGATGGAAAGTAATCCAGTAGCAACTGCAGTGAGGGAAAACAGGGGTCCAGGCCAGGAGATGGTGGAATACAGTAGTAGGCTCCTTGCAGAGATGTATGAAGCCATGTGGTGGAATTAAGTATCAGGAGGTGAATATATATCACCTCTTGTTCATTGCTCATGAACTCCAAAATAAACAGAACAGGACTCGTAACCTCAGTGAAGAGAGCTGTGGTTAGTGGCACATGTACTTCTGCACACAAAGTCTTTTGATGATGACGATGATGATAATAATGATAATGATGCAAGGAGATTTTCTGCTCTGTTCTCACTAGGCAGGAGACACTCAGGTGCTCGCTGTCTCCCTTCGTGCATCATTTTTGTGTGTGCTTAATCCACTGTGTGGTTTGAAAAGTCCCCAAGGAAGAGAAAAACACTTCTGATTGCAGAGAGAGCAAGTGCAAAGCAGCGAAGGCCGCCGCATACAGGCTGCGGTTGTGCAGTTCAGAAAGATGAGTGAGGGAGAGAATTTCACCAGTGTGGTACAGTACTGCTGATTCTGCAAATGCTGCCTGAGCATTGTAAGAATGATAGTGTGGTCTCCCATCACCATTGTGACGGGTGGCATCCAGATTTACTGATACAGCTACCTAATAAATATGGGAGTGAGTATAGTCCAGGTTAAAAATTAAAATTCACTGCCCAGGTGATCCACATCTTTGCAACAGGGAAAGTCAATCTTCTGTTGCCAATATCAGTTGCACCTGTTGGTGATGAGGGGACCTTGAATGAGATTTGGATTCGATTCCTTCATTCAGTCCTGATGCGCATTTGGCTAGCCTGGGGTTCATTCCATTCACTCCTCTAAATGCAGCTAATGTTGGGGTAAAAAGGACAGAAAGAAACATTATGAAAATTATTCTATTTTAATCCTGTGTTTTCTCCAAAAAGTTCAAGTACTGTAAATATGTTTCTTTCCCTTGTTTATTGCAACGCAGAACTGATTCTGGTTCTGATAATCCAAAAAGTCAGTAGGACTTTTGGGGAGAAAAAAGTTTGCTGCTTGGGATTTCAGAAATTCTAGCAGATATGTTCCATACATTTCAGAGTATGTCTATGTAGTTCATCAGGGCTAGAGTCTTCCTTATTTCAAATTTAAGATAAGATTATCAGGAAACGATGAAATGATTTGTGTGAATTACAGTATTCTGGCTTTGCTACTGATAGGGACAAGCTAGAAATGATTGAGGGCATTTAAAGAATGTCTCCTAACTAACAGAAATCTTATTCAGGATTAAAAATTTTATTATTTTTTTTCAATGAAAGCCAGGGGTTCTTAGGAAGATGTAGTTTGTGCCCAGAACAACATTTCAGCACTTGTTCTATTTTTCTTCAAGCGGTACTATACTGACTAAACCCAGAAACTAAATTTATAGCTAGATGGGAGATGCACAAGGAGAGTCTCACACTGCCACCTGCTGGAAATACTGTATGCAAAAACTACAGAGCGAATATTTAATCAATTAAATCGTGGGATTTGGAAATGACAGTATGTATGGACCCTTCCATCCGCAGTTGCTGGTACCCAAATCCGAAGGGTGGCCAACTGTAAATTCCTGTCCTTATTCCAACTCTAAGCCCAACCTGGCACATTAAAGCCCTTTTGAGGCTGTCCTGGTTACATTTCCTTGAGATCCAGTTCCTGCCCAAGCCATCTTGAGAAAATGCAAAAATGGCATGCAAACCGCCAAGATCTTACTGGAGACTATCCACAATGTTACCTTGTCTCTCTCGAAGCCTCAAATGTCCGCAGTGTGGACTTGCTAGGTGTGGGTTTTGTGTCCTTGGCCTTGTTACAATACAATACAAAT